CTTGCTCCAGCCTCAGGGCCTTTGCACAGGCTGTTCCATTTGTCTGGACTGCTCTTCCCCCAGTTCTCTGCTTGGCTTGCTTAACCTCCCACAATCTTTGCTCAAATATTACATTCTCAGTGAAGCCTTTTTTGACCTCTTTCCTTAAAATTACATTCCTCTTATAATGCCCTATCTTTCTCCCCTTCTTTATTTTTCCTCTGTAGCAGTTACTACTCTCTGCCATATTCCAGAATTTATTTGTTTACCGTTTGTGTCTCACTAGAATGTGAGCTCCAGGAGGGCAGGGACCCCAACAGTAGTTGTTCAATGTACATAAGGGTTAATCAGTGAAAAAAGAGACAAACATAGGCTATAAAGAAGGTAAAAAGAAACAGCAAGCTGGGGAAAGATGGCAGGTAAAGAGTTAATATCCTTAATGCAGAAGGAGTGCTTGCAAATCAATAAGGAAGCAATAAATAGCCCAAGAGAAGGATAAGCAAAAGAAATAAACAAGTAATTGGCAAGAGAAGGAACCACTGGTGGCCAGTAAACAGGAAGAGGTTCTCAGGCTCATTAGGAACCAGAGGTATGAAAACTCAAACAGCATCTCTATGGTACCAATTAGCTTGGCAACATTGTCCAAGCCTTAGAGGGATGGGAGGGAGCAGCCCTCTCTCCCACTGTTAGGGGTGGGTGTAAATGGTGCAGACTTGAAAATACAGGCACTGTGACATCTGGCTTCATGCTGGACAGTGACCTGCGTTGACAGCCCCACTCTCAGGTGTAAAAACTAAGGACCAGAGAACACAGTGCACTCTGCTGGGGTCACACAATGAGTTGCTGCCGAAGCTGGGAGAAAGCCCAGCCTCTGCAAGTCCATCCACTCCCGGCCGGCTCTCTGACACCCTGTGGAATCAGGGCTGGGTCTCAGGGGCCCTGGGCCAAAACTTGGAGTGGGCAGGCAAGGGGGTGCACCCCAAATACCCTGGCCAACTGGGGATTTTGAATCGGAGTCTTAATTGTGTGACCTTGAGCAAGTGCCAGCCTCTCAGTGCCTTAACTCTCCTCCTATGAAAAATGGGTAAAACAGGCCCTGCCACCTTGGGTTTCTGTGGGAACTTAGAGAGGCAACATGGTGTAGAAGCTGTGAAATGGAGCCCAGGACATCGTGAGCGCTCAGCAAATGGAGCCAGGCCTGCAGCTGTCCTCTACTTTCCCCCCACCACGTGGGGTGGAAACTCTGAGTTTGGTTCCTCCGCTGCAGCTGTGCTCCAGAGGGCTGGGTGCTGCCCTCTCAGGAGACGGAGCGGATCTTCCCCGCCCCTGCGGGTCTCCCAGGTCCAGGCTGCCAGCTGGCTCGCCACTTCGTCACGGGGCGAGTGGAAAAAACCCAGCCAGGAGGATACCCCGGCCCCGCCAGCTATGTGGCCTTGGGCTGGTCATGATCCCCACTGAGGGCTGCGGTGAGAAGGGGAGGTGAGAAGAGAGAGGTCAGAGCTCTCTGAACAGCTCCCTCTTCCCTTGCAGCTCAAATGTAGGGATTTTAAAGAGTTTGCCTGCCACTAGCCCTGCTGGACCAGTCCTGTGAGTTGGCGTCTTTGCACCCTCCTCAATTTGGCGGAGGGGAAAACTGAGGCTAGGGAGGTGAAGCTGTGCAGCCAAGGCCACTCAGCTGGGAGAGGGGCCAAGGTCACTCAGCTGGGTCTGCCTGAGCCCTTTGGGAGAGAAAGGAGCAGGGGAAGGGAGAGAGGGTGGGAAAAGGTGGGAGACAAGGAGCAAGAGACAGAGACACAGACAGACTGAGACTCAGAGCTCTACAAGGAGAGTCAAAGAGACACTGTTAGCAGTTAAGCTGTGTCCCCCCAGAATGCCTGGGTTGAAGTCCTAACCCCCAGTCCCTCAGACACTTTGGAGACAGGGTCTTTGCAGAGGTGATTAAAATGAGGTCATTAGGGCAGGCCCTAACCAGTATGACTGGTGTCCTTATAGAGGGAATTTGGACACCACAAACCCAGGGGCAGAGAGACAGGGTGGGCAGGGGAAATGAGGGCTCTGGGGTGCTGGGGACCAGGGCGGCAGTGGGGGCCAGGCTGCCTGGGTCCCATCCCTCTCCCTCATAGGCTGCCTCTGCTGCCTTGGCAACAGGAAGATTGGCCTGGATGACAGCTACCCCCATCCCTCTTTTTCCAGGCCAATGTGTGGTCTCAGAGAGGATCATAAACAGCTCCCCAGGGAGGATGAGAAGAAGTGATGTCATACACTGGGTGGGGGGCACATGGCTGGGGAGAAGGGAGTTCCAGCAGGTCAGAGGAGCACATATTTAATGACTGGCATCTTCAGGAAGACATCTCTCTTCTCACAGCCCTCTTGAGCTCAAGCACACTCTACAGCTGCCTACTAGTGGCTGCACCAAGCCCAGGCTCCCCTAGTCCCCCTAGTATGGCTCTGTACCTCCACCTGGGAAAAATTTCAGCCTCTTCCGGCCCAGCAGGTAACTTCGATCCCAGTGTGCTTTTGGGAACCTGCAGGGTTCCTTCCCACCCCCACCCTTTGCACTTGCAGTGCCCCTGCCTGGGATGCCCTCCCCTTCTGGCCAGCACCTCACCCTCCAGCCCTCGGAACACCTCTCGTCCTTCCCTGAACATGCCTGGTCTTCAAGCCCCACTGAAGTTGCAAATGCTTTTCCCTCTGCCTGGAACAGCCTTTCTCAGCTCTGGCTACCACCTCATTCCCTCCCAATCGTATCACCCAGGTCACTCCCCCACCTCCCCAGCACCCCCCTCTCTTTCCAGTGATTGTGTTCACTTACTCATTTACTTCCTATATGTCTGTCTCCCCATCAATCTGGATGTTGTTTGTCTTGTTCAGCTCTGTGAACACACCCCCACAGCATATCCTTGGAAAATTAATATTGGGCAATAATAGCTGAGCGATTCCCAGCCTGCTCTAAAACAGTGGCTTTCACAAATTTCATCCGTGACAAAAAAATTCATTTTTACCTGGGAACCCATTTAAACACATGTAGAAAAGATGCAGAAAGTTCATGGAACAATTCTTACCATTATGGAGGATACAGGCCAATATTTTCTATTCTATTCCAAAAAAATTCTGATTACAACCTTTTGATTTCATAACCCACTAGTGAGTTACAATACAGCCCCAGAGAGAAGGTTCTCAAATTCTTGCTGCAGAGGTCCCTAGAACTTCCTTGGTTCTGCTCCCTCCCACACCCACTTCACCTTGTCCTGCTCTTATGGTTCTGGGAGGGAGCCCGAGGCAGGCTTGATCGGCAAGGAGCCACAGTGAACACTCCAGAAGTTCAGTCCCTCCCGCAGTGCTGCCCGGAGAGCTAGGCCTGACCTCCTCAGGTCTCTCCTCTGTGCACACTGGGTGCAGATGCCGGGGTCACACATGGGTGCACCTCTGCCTGCCCCATGGCCTGCCCTCTCCCCCCAGAGGAATGACCTGGGGGGTTGGGGAAGGGAAGGGAAGGGTGAGGCAGGCAGGTGGCAGCAATTGCCACGGCCCTTCCCCTGGAAAACTACAGCTCCCGACCTGACCCCAACCCTCCCCCTAGATAATAAAAGTAGCCCTACCTGCCATCGCTGAACTGTGGCACTGTGTGGACATGGTGTTTGGGCACACAGCGTCCGCACACAGTGGGGAGTCTTGCTCCCATCTGACAGGCAACCTTGCTGAGGCTCAGTGGTCTCACCCCAGACCTCACAACTCAGATGTGGACAAAGGGATTTGAACCCAAGCAGTTAGACTCTCAAAGGGAGAGAAGGCCTACTTCAGGGTGCTGTCCCCTCTTCAAGCCCCAGTTTCCCCTACTGCAAGGGCAGGCCTAGATGTGGCGACCTCAGAGGGTGTACCCAGATCTGCCTTGGCTGGGCTCAAGTCACCCTGGTCAGCCCCTGGGCCGTGCCAGAATGATACAAGCCCAGCTTGGTACCCACCCCTCCCCTCGGGCACCACGACCCACACCCCACCTGGTCTTTTCCCTTCTGGTCTGTTCAAAATCAAGGTCTCTCCTTCCTCTCATTCACACTCCCTCAAGGCCTGGTCCTCTGTGGAGACAGGCCAAGCCTGTGCTCCAGGGAAGGCAGTTGGTTCCTCTCCGGGACCCTGGAACACCTTAACCCAGGAATTTCCACACTTGCAGGGCGGGGGTGTTGCTGGTGGGGAGTATTTCTTCCTCAATGAAATCCTGATGGGAACACTAATTCATAAGATTCCCAAAAAGGCTGCTCTGGTGAAAACAAGGACAGAAAGGCTGGCTTTCATGCGCCTAACTTCTTATCTACTATGCCTTCCTGCCACTGTCCCAGGTCACCCCAGGAGTCCCTGAAGCCTGTTTTGAAGACCATAGTTCAAAGTAATGATGATATTTCAGGTGTGGCCTCTAGGGGAAATATTTTGGACATGTGGCTAATGCTTGCCTTCACATGACAAGGGTATGGACTAGGGCAGGGGCAGAAACCCTTCAAATATTCAAAGACAACACAGCAGAGACTCTAGAATCCTACAGGTCTGAGTTCCAATTTCTGCTTGCCACCTGGGTAACTCTCAGAAGGTACTACACCTCTCCCAGCCTCAGCTTCCCCATCTATAATATGGGCATACTAGAATTGTTTGCAGAAATAAAGGAGGTGATGCAGACAAAGAGTTTAGCAAATGAGGAATGTGGAACGCGTGCCATGGACCGCGCGCCATTATTATTGCTCTGGCCCCATCACTAGTGAACTGTGTGACCTTGGGGTAGTACTAACTCTCCTGGGGCCTGTTTCCTCCTCTGTGAATTGGGGATGATGATGGTATTCACCTCACAGGGTCCTTGTGCATGGAGATGAGTTGGAACACGTTAAGATGCTTAGTTGGCATAAAACGAATACTTAGTAGTTGCTAGACTTTGCTTATGATTATTCTAACCGTTGTAATTCTTTGTTCCTAGCCCTGTTGGGCAGCCCCTCCCTCCCTCCACCATCCCCTCGCCCCGTGCGGGGGCCCCGTCTTACCCCGGCGGGATGGAGGCACGTGCGCTCACGCTGGGGGCGCGCTGGGGCCCAGGTCGGTTGAGGTTGTTCTGCCCGGGCGTGGGCGCCCCTCGGGGGGCGCTGGGGCTCCGCGGGGGCGCTCCAGGGGGCTGCGCGGGCTCGGCGGGGCCGGCCGAGGGCGCGGCCCAGAGCACGGCGCCGGCGAAGGTGGCGCTGGGGCGCACCGCGAGGGTGCCAGGTGGCCCTCCCGGGGGCTGCGGCGCTGGGGGTGCCGGGGTCGCCTTGCGGCGCTGTGAGGCCAGGATGGCGTTGGAGGCCGCACGCGTGCTGTTGACCAGCAGGCACTGCTGGCACGAGCAGGGTTGGCCCGAGCTGGCACCCACGGGCCACGACTGAGACTTGGGGATGGAGCCGACAGTGAGAGGGTAGGCGAGGTCCAGGCGGCGGCGCAGGCGGCGGCGCCGGCGCGTCTGGCGGTTCATCTGCGACATACTGTTGAAGTAGATGAGGTAGCAGAAGCCGAGCGACGAGAGGTCGAGCCACGGGTGCTGCTTCTCGTAGGCGTTCTGGATGGTGATGCAGATGTCCATGTCGTAGGCCGTCCAGGCGCCGCCGTCGTTCTCCCACTCCCACACGATGCCCTTGCCTGGCGCCGACGACGGGTCGTAGAAGTTGCGCCGCACGGGCCTCATGGTGCCTGCGCTCACAGGGGCGAGGGATCAGGAGAGGGGCGGGGGACAAGGCGGGGGTCGGCACGGGCAGGGGCGAGGACAGGGGAGCCAGCAAAGAGGGGTGCCATGCGGATGCAAATCAGCAAGGTATGGGGGGCAGGCTAGGCAAGCTCCCCCACTCCTCAAGGGTCGACAGACACTGAAGTGGTGGCCGTCACAGACCCTGCGGGGAGGAGGGTGGGGAGGTGCGGGGGCTGTTCAGATGGGTGTGGGAAACAGCGACAACCATGCAGACAGTGGGGCGCAGGCAGTCCTTGCTAACTTCAGGAACTCACTCATTCAAAAATTCACTCATCGATCCATTCATCAGTCCATTGATTCAAGCACAGTGATTGATTCACTGATTCACTCAGTTCCTTCGTTCGTTCATCCACCCATGCCTGTAGCCTCCTATTAACCTTTTCATAGATGCATTCATTCTCACTCCTTAATTCTCTCATTCAGTCATTCTTCATTTACCACCATCCTCTTTAAAAAAAGGTGCACTCCCCTCCGCGTCCCCCCCCCCCACCTGCTGTTTTATCCATCTGGCATACTTTGTTTTCTCCGTTCATTTTGTCTTCTGTCTGACTTAACCCACTAGAATGTTGCCACCACAAAGCAGGGACTCTGTTTCATTCATGGATAAATCCCCCACTGTCTGCACACAGTAGGTGCTCAATAGATATTTGCTGAATGTGTGAATGAATTCAGTAGTTCAGGCACTGATCCATTTTGGGTTTGGTTATTCTTTCATCCCTTTGGGTCTTTTGTGTACCCCTGCATCAGCCTGTTCCTTCCACCACTAATTCATTTGTTCCTTTCTTTAACAAACATCTGCTGACTGCTCTTTGGAGGCCTCCATGCTGAGGGCTTATCCAAAATGAACATAACCAAGTAATTACACCAGCCAGGTGGGTATGCATGCCCCCATTTTAAAAATGAGGGCACAGAGGTTTTGCTCCCAACCACTGCTCCGTGTCTTCCAAAATTCTGGAGGATCTTTGGGGGCAAGGTTTCATGGGACACTGGGTTACATGGAGACAACCTAAGGTCCAGGCCTCAGGACTTCTCAGAGCCTTTAGCCTGCTGTGTGCCTTGGGGCCAGTGTGGAGAGATTCTTTTGCTGGGTTCATTTGGCACGCCTGCAGGAAGGCTGCACACCTGACTGTTCCTCAACTGTGAGCAAGTCCCCTAAACTTCCCTTGGTCTGCATGGTCTTATCTGGGAAATGAATGGGTGTCCAAGACCGACCCCTCCCCTCTCTCACAGGGCTGCTGGGAGGATTTGGTGAGAAAAACTGCAGAGCACAGGGTCTCGGTGGGGCACCAGGGCTGAGAGGCAGACAGACCTCATTTCAAGTCCTGACTGTCCAACTTTCCAGCCCTGTGACTGTGGTCAGGTGACTCAATGTCTCTAAGCCTCAGTTTTCTCATTTCTAAAATGGGAACACACAGACCTTCCTCATGGAGTTGTTAAAAGGATCAATCAAGACAGATAGTGTCTCTACTCTGATGATTCCAAATCTGTCATTGCTAGCCTGTCCTTTTCCCTAAAAGACAGCTGCCTTCTCAGCACTTTCCTGTGGAGGTCCAACAAGTATCTCAAACTCAGCTCTGTCAAAGCAGAGCCCTGACCTTTCCCCACCCCAGAACTGCTCCTCCTGAAGTCTCCCTCATTGCACTTACAGCAGTACCATCCTTCCAGCTGCTTGGGCCCCAAATCCCCCAAAACTTGGACTCATCCATGACTTCTTACTTCATACCCTGTAACCAATCTGCCAGTAAATCCAGTCACCCATACCACCAAATACATCCCACATCTGACCACTTCATCCCACCGCACTGATTCTACCTGGTTTGTACCACTGAAAGTCTCCCGCCTGGACTACTGCAGTAGGCTCATGGCTGGTCTTCACTTCTGTAGTATATTCTCCACATGGCAGCCAGAGGGATCTCATTCAATAAAAGTGAGATCATATCCTTCTGTCTGAAATCCCTCCATGGCTCCCTGGTCACTGGGAGTAAAACCCAAAGTCCTCTCTATGACCTGCAAAGCCCCACATTGTCCACAAGACCCCTTCAAAGTCCTCTCTCTGGCTTATTACCTACCACCTCTCTCACTCACTCCACTCCAGCTACACTTGCATTAGTTTTTTCCTGGCACTCAGTCCTACCTGACACAATATATTCATCTTCATACTGTCTTTACTCTCTATCTCTTCCCGTGATGCGCTCAGCCCACAGGTCAGGGGTCTTGACTGCTCAGCTCACTGCTGTATCTCCAGTGCCTAGCACAGTGCCTGGCACACAGTCGGCCTTCACTGCATGGAGGGCACTTCTCCTGTTAACTGGCACCACCCCAGAGTGCCTGGCCCAGGGATCTGCAGCCAGATGGGTAGGGAACCACCACGGTCTTTCCTGACAACCTTCGCCTCTGCCTGCCCTGCTCAGGCTTCTCTCTCCTGAGCACAGGCTCTACCCAGCCTTCACTAGGGCCCCTACCCATGGCTGAACCAGCTGGCCCGCTGCTCTCTCCTCAGTTAGAATCCAAGGGCTACAGACTGCTGCTGCCCCCTGATTTTCATAGATGCATTCATTCTCACTCCTTAATTCTCTCATTCAGTCATTCTTCATTTACCACCATCCTCTTTAAAAAAAGGTGCACTCCCCTCCGCGTCCCCCCCCCCCACCTGCTGTTTTATCCATCTGGCATACTTTGTTTTCTCCGTTCATTTTGTCTTCTGTCTGACTTAACCCACTAGAATGTTGCCACCACAAAGCAGGGACTCTGTTTCATTCATGGATAAATCCCCCACTGTCTGCACACAGTAGGTGCTCAATAGATATTTGCTGAATGTGTGAATGAATTCAGTAGTTCAGGCACTGATCCATTTTGGGTTTGGTTATTCTTTCATCCCTTTGGGTCTTTTGTGTACCCCTGCATCAGCCTGTTCCTTCCACCACTAATTCATTTGTTCCTTTCTTTAACAAACATCTGCTGACTGCTCTTTGGAGGCCTCCATGCTGAGGGCTTATCCAAAATGAACATAACCAAGTAATTACACCAGCCAGGTGGGTATGCATGCCCCCATTTTAAAAATGAGGGCACAGAGGTTTTGCTCCCAACCACTGCTCCGTGTCTTCCAAAATTCTGGAGGATCTTTGGGGGCAAGGTTTCATGGGACACTGGGTTACATGGAGACAACCTAAGGTCCAGGCCTCAGGACTTCTCAGAGCCTTTAGCCTGCTGTGTGCCTTGGGGCCAGTGTGGAGAGATTCTTTTGCTGGGTTCATTTGGCACGCCTGCAGGAAGGCTGCACACCTGACTGTTCCTCAACTGTGAGCAAGTCCCCTAAACTTCCCTTGGTCTGCATGGTCTTATCTGGGAAATGAATGGGTGTCCAAGACCGACCCCTCCCCTCTCTCACAGGGCTGCTGGGAGGATTTGGTGAGAAAAACTGCAGAGCACAGGGTCTCGGTGGGGCACCAGGGCTGAGAGGCAGACAGACCTCATTTCAAGTCCTGACTGTCCAACTTTCCAGCCCTGTGACTGTGGTCAGGTGACTCAATGTCTCTAAGCCTCAGTTTTCTCATTTCTAAAATGGGAACACACAGACCTTCCTCATGGAGTTGTTAAAAGGATCAATCAAGACAGATAGTGTCTCTACTCTGATGATTCCAAATCTGTCATTGCTAGCCTGTCCTTTTCCCTAAAAGACAGCTGCCTTCTCAGCACTTTCCTGTGGAGGTCCAACAAGTATCTCAAACTCAGCTCTGTCAAAGCAGAGCCCTGACCTTTCCCCACCCCAGAACTGCTCCTCCTGAAGTCTCCCTCATTGCACTTACAGCAGTACCATCCTTCCAGCTGCTTGGGCCCCAAATCCCCCAAAACTTGGACTCATCCATGACTTCTTACTTCATACCCTGTAACCAATCTGCCAGTAAATCCAGTCACCCATACCACCAAATACATCCCACATCTGACCACTTCATCCCACCGCACTGATTCTACCTGGTTTGTACCACTGAAAGTCTCCCGCCTGGACTACTGCAGTAGGCTCATGGCTGGTCTTCACTTCTGTAGTATATTCTCCACATGGCAGCCAGAGGGATCTCATTCAATAAAAGTGAGATCATATCCTTCTGTCTGAAATCCCTCCATGGCTCCCTGGTCACTGGGAGTAAAACCCAAAGTCCTCTCTATGACCTGCAAAGCCCCACATTGTCCACAAGACCCCTTCAAAGTCCTCTCTCTGGCTTATTACCTACCACCTCTCTCACTCACTCCACTCCAGCTACACTTGCATTAGTTTTTTCCTGGCACTCAGTCCTACCTGACACAATATATTCATCTTCATACTGTCTTTACTCTCTATCTCTTCCCGTGATGCGCTCAGCCCACAGGTCAGGGGTCTTGACTGCTCAGCTCACTGCTGTATCTCCAGTGCCTAGCACAGTGCCTGGCACACAGTCGGCCTTCACTGCATGGAGGGCACTTCTCCTGTTAACTGGCACCACCCCAGAGTGCCTGGCCCAGGGATCTGCAGCCAGATGGGTAGGGAACCACCACGGTTCCCTTCGCCTCTGCCTGCCCTGCTCAGGCTTCTCTCTCCTGAGCACAGGCTCTACCCAGCCTTCACTAGGGCCCCTACCCATGGCTGAACCAGCTGGCCCGCTGCTCTCTCCTCAGTTAGAATCCAAGGGCTACAGACTGCTGCTGCCCCCTGTCAACTGCCCAGATCCCCAGAGCTGGGGAAATTGAGGCACAGAGTTGTAGCTGTTGATATGAGAGTGCAGTGGGGGGGTCGGGTCTCTGGGCTCCTATAATGTTCCAGCCAATCATAGGCAAACTTCCCCTGGGCCTCTGGGGCTGCCTCATTATGATGCCTGATTTATCATTTTAATTGAGTGTGTGCATATTGATTTTTTCCTTGGCAATGGTATTCTTCCAGGGCAGGCCTGGGAGGGAATTAGTTAGAGGGAAA